TCCCTCTCCCTCTCTCTCCCTCTCCCCCTCCCCCTCCCCCTCTCCCCCTCCCCCTCCTCCTCTCCCCCTCTCCCTCTCCCTCTCCCTCTCCCTTCTCCCTCTTCTCCCTCTCCCTCTCCTTCTGCCTTTCCCTCTCCCTCTCTCTGTCCCTCTCCCTCTCCTTCTGCCTCTCCCTCTCCTTCTGCCTCTCCCTCTCCCTCTCTCTCTCCGTCTGCTTCTCCCTCTCCCTCCGCCTCTCCCTGCTGCCTGTGGATCAGGATGTAAAACACAGCTTCTGCCTACCTGCCTGCCTGTTGCCATACTTCCTGACTGGAGGACTTAGCCCTCTGAAACTATAAGCCAGCCCCAATGAAATGGTTTCTTTTGTAACAGCTGCATTGGTCATTGTATCTTCACAACAATAGAACAGTAACTAAGACAACTAGTCTATTTTTGTCACATATGCCATGGCCAAAGTTTTTAGTTTTCATGTTCTGAGCAGGGACTGGAAAAGGTCTATCTACTTCTCTTCACTAGAAACATGGTGCCTTCTGGCACAAGTCAAGATTAGATCACTTGTGCAGTCTCTGAAAGTTCAGAGGAATATGCATCATTATCATCATCATCATCATCATCATCATCCCTTCTAGAGCCTGAGTTTCCTAACTGGGGCCTAGACTTGGCACAGCAGAGCCAGCTCCTCATTGGTATATACTGTTGAATTGTGGATCTCCAACCACTATACCACCAGAGATGACTGGTATTGAGAATTGAGGGAAAGGAAGAAAGGTGGAGATAGAAAGTCTTAGACATTCTCTGGTTCAGTTGTGCAAGGCTTTTCAGCAAAGGAAGTCTTTGAGGCCCAGCTCCCTAAAGTGTGCCTGTCTCAATATCTCTGTGATAACTCAGTCACTGAGAGGAACAACCTGTTAGAAAAATGGCCTCAGACACATGGAGTAGTTGCTTCACAGTGTAGCCATTGGTCATTATGCCCCTTTGAGAGGAAAGATAAAAAGCTATTTCCACAGCTCCAATAGATACATGGCCAAGTGAGAAAGTCCTGTCACCTCAGTAGCACTCCTGCCTCATCTCCTCCTGGAGTAACAGGCTGCTCCAGTGCAGTCTCTGCACTCCCAGCCCCCACCATCCAATCTCAAAAGTGTTAGTCCACTGTTGTATAAGCTAGCACATAGACACTGAGATGAGTCCAGACTTCCCCAAAACACTGATCTTTTTTTCAGGTTACATCAGACATGAAAATATCATGATCTTTAATTAGTTCCTATGCTGAAAAAATTCTGTTATTTTTCCTCATGACTAGAGACACACATTAAACCGTTTGGGTGGCTCAAAATAAGTGGTTGGGTAATTATTTGGGAGTTGTTTCTTCTTTCTTCTGTAATTGCCAAAACTTTTTCATTGAAGCCATAGGATCTTTCCTCTCCCTATACTGCACACATTTGTTTGTGGAGAACACAAACAAATATTGAAAATATAATCATAGGTCATATTACACCATTTTGGTCATTAACCATACATCAGGGATACCATGCAATCTACCACAATGCATTGCTCATCTGTTTGTGGTGGTGCTGGGCAAGTCTGCTGTACCACCAGTCACACAAAAGGGACTTGTGTGGGACAGTGCTGGGGATATGCACAGTGGCAGTGTTCAGGTTGCTTGCCCAGAGTCCTGCATTTGATTCTCAGCAGCACACAAAGGCCCATGATACTCAGTGATAACGTTACTGCTTTATCTCATCAACACAGTCTGCTTTCTAATGTACACTAATGCATGCCTTAATTTCTAGGAAAGCTTTTAGTGTAAAGCAGAACACTCATTACACAGGCAGCAGGCTCGCTCTCATGCCTTGTGTTTATGGTCACCCTGCTGCAGTGGGGCCATGCTCAGCGATGACTCAGGCCACTTAGCTTTGTGTGTGCTCACTCTCTGATACTCACAAGATGGCAGAATCATCTGTGGTACATGTCTCAGAATGCGCTGCCACAAGAACAAACTATTAGGCTAAAATAAAACTTTGACTAAAGTAAAGAAAAAGAGAAATCAGGAATAGAATTGCTGGGTGATGTTCCACTGGCTCAGACCAGTGGGAAGACTGAAAAGGATGAGATGAAGAGAAGAAGGAAATGTGACAATCTTCTGTCCACAGCTCCAGTAGACATGCCTGATTTGGAAATGTGCAGCCTCAGGTTCTCACGAAGAGGGCATGGTTCCTGATAGGAATCTCAAACAGTGAACAAGTAATGGTATCATAAATGCTGTTCAATATTTGAGAAGAAAACTCACACTATAATTCTCTTATGTTCAACAAAACAGATGTATTATATTTCACCAGAAATTATTAAACAATAAATAAAACAATTAGAACATTCATCTCCATGGAAATCTTTAGAGTGGCATGGTTCTAGAACAGTGGACATATTTTCTCCAGTATGACGCTCACACAGTGAAATAAATACAAAGGGGCTATGCTTCCATAAAGAGTTGGCAGCTCACACAAACACGAATATAGTTAAAATCTCTGTCCACACTCTCCATAAAATTTATGCAGTTAGGTTTATAAACATCTTTCATTTGGCAGTAGGTTTAACTTGTGTAAACTAACATTTGGAACTTTATTGAGGGATATAGCCATGTGAAACTTTACTTAGCATTGTCCAAAGAAGTTGGATAAGCCTGTGTACAGGGAAACTGTGTTTCTCATATGCAAGGCCTAGACCATTTGCCTAGGTGACATGTGTCCTTCTAAAGAACAGACAACCACGAAACAAGGTTGTTGAGTGTCATGAAGGGATGAAGTTGTAGCTTGGAAAGAAACAAACCCACAAATTATTGTACTGACATTACCACCATCATGAGAATGTTGCATATCCCCATTTTCTAACTGCTTTGTGAGGCCCTCTCACTGATGCCCTGTATCACGTTCTTGTCCAAAATACACTTCCAGGTTCTCGTCCAGTTGAGATATCTGCAGCCGGGGAGTCGGTGAGAATTGTCTCTTCCTGTGTGGACATGGTGTGGACTGAAGCAAAGTACTCCCGGGAGCATACAGAAAAGTGGCTTCTCAGGCCCCAGGAAGGTACTCTACTCCCTGAACTCTGTCACCAATTCTTTTTCAAGTTGGTCGAGAAAAGCTGAGACTAAGTATGTTGGAGGGAACCCAGATTGTGCACGCCTAACTCCCAAGGGCAAAAAGACATTGGGGAATTCTTCAGGCTCTCCCCTAAAACGTCTGAAAAAGAGATCACAATTCCTGAAGAAGCAGTGCCTTAGAAAAACCAAACAGAAAGGTGTGTCCTCCGCAGCCTGATGGCAGATGAGGAAAATGGATAGAGCTTACTCATCTGAATAATGTTTTCAGTTTACTTCCATATTCTAGGATGTAAATTTGGGCAGATGAGTTTGTCCAATTGGCTTGTTGATAGGCATTTAACTGGAAAAAAAAAGAGGCTAAAATATAGCCATTCAAAAGACACTAGCTATAAAAGTGGAGACTTTATAATTTGTAAATTCTAATTGCATACTTGAATTTATGCCATATGTTGCTTCTTTTACCTGTTAAACCTCTTGCTAAAATCAACATTACATGATGCTCTAAGTAGTATACTGTCTTTAAGATTTGCTTAGATTTTTATACACTGATTATGGAAACAGTGCTATATTGTTATGGCATGCTCACTTTAAAAAGTTGACTTAGTCTTTCTTACATTAAAAAGTTTAATATTAAAAAATAAAAAATAAAATATACTTTCCTTACACTGCTCTTGTCTAAAAAAATCTAATGTCTTTCCTCAGACCTGCCTTCTCTCTATTACTCCTCAAGTCTCAGAAAACCAAATGAAATCTTCCTAGACATGAAATGGGGCCAGGTGGCTAGGAAACCGGGGGTACAAAAAGAAAGGGGAATAGAATATGTATTATGTATTATATGTATTAATATATATAGATTATGAATAGAATATGTATTAATATGTTTAGTGTAAAACATATACTATGACAATATCAGAGGTTATATGTAGGCTAGAAACAGGAGCTAAGGCTATAAAAATATGAGTTTTGGAAAGAGGATAGGAGCCATATTTACTCGTAGGGCAGCAGAAGGGACAGCTTAAAAACAAACAGAAGATGCAGCGAGAGAGACGGAGGAGAAGTATGACACAGACTGCAGCATATGACAGGGACAGTGAGGCTGTAATACGTGTGACAGCATGTTCCAAGAGAAAGAAAGCGAAGCAGAGCAGAGACATATATAAAAGATGAAAAATCACACACTCATATATGTATATCATACTCATATATGTGACACACTACACACACACACGCACACGCACACGCACACGCACACGCACACGGATCATAGAGACAGTAATTTCTAAGGAATGATAGAGATGGGGGCCTAAGTAAAGATTTAAATTAAAAACATATTTAATGAGGTGTGCTGTGTGCCAAATACTGGGTTGAGGAAGGAAGTTGGTAGTGGTGACAATGAGGGCACAGTGAAGGTTAGAGATAGCAGGACACACAGGGAGGGAAAAGGTCTCTTCAGGGATCTCAGTGGACTCTCACCAGAAAATACAGGAAGATTCACGCTCATCTTGTAGTAACTTGAATCTAGGAACAACATAAGAGAAGTTCAAGTTGATCTATAATACTTACTTTTGTCAACAAATACATATTAAGAAATAAAAATTATATTACATTTCTGCAATATATTAGCTTTATTAAAGAGTTATATAATCTGGTTCAAAACATAAGGTAAAATAACAAATTTCAAAGATACCCTTTATTTATGTTATTTTGGAAAGCCTAGCATATTAAGTTAGCAAATCCTTTTTAGCAGATTATTTTGGATCCGTAGAAGCCTGGGGTTCAGAGTACTCTGGCATGTTCAAGGTTACACAGTGAATAGACAGACAGACAGACTCTCTGCTCACTACTGTTCACTCTTTTCATTTTTTTCCCCTCCCCTGCCTAAACACCCCTTTCTTTAAGAAGCTTTGACTATGTTCCTTCTCCCAACACACACCTCATTCTTACTGGACAAGCAGAGTGACTGCTGTATCGTGAGGCTGGACAGGTGTCTGCATGCTGCTACGGTGAGCAATGTGTTCCTAGTGAAGCTTTCTGTGGCTGCCTGGAGTACTCTAGCCCTTTATCCAGTGCTGTACTGCTTACAAAACACTCCTGCTGTCTTATTACAACACTCTTCTCAAAATTAAGTGCTTAAGTGTAATGACTCAAAACTTATTAAGTACTGAGACTTCACAGAAGTACTCACAGTGACAAGACATATTCTATAGTTGGACACAAACGTGAAGGAATAGAGACAACCGTTTTTATTCATCAATTCATTATCATGTTAATTTGTGCCACTTAATATTCTGAAAGCCACAAATTTCTTTTTTATAACTTTCAAAATCACATTTATTTATTTTGTGTGTGTGTACACGTGCATGTGCATCCTTGCACACATGTGAGGAGGGCGGCAAATGGAAGTCAGAGTCCTGCTTGTGCTGGTTTTCCACCTTTTACCATGAGGTTCCTGGGGACTGACCTCAGACCATCGGGCTTCTTGGAAGCTTCTTTGCCTGCTGAGCCAGACTGCCAGTCTGAAAGTCTCGACTTTCCACAATATCAGTTAATTAACCCTGGTGCAGCTTCAGGACAACATTCAGTTTGTGAGGTGTTTTCTGGGGATGCAGACTGTGAAAGGAGGTACACTGGAATGCGGCCCCCGTGGAGAGGAAATGACAAGAAGCTGAATGGAATGTGTAGTTTTATATTACAGCTAACATGTTCATTATCACTATGGGAGTTTTGTAACTTGTGTTTAAAGACTGACATTCAAATATGCATTTAATGGACATACGTGTTCTTTGCTCAGAAACGTCCAGCCAGTGCTTGCCTTCTGCACCCTAACAGCCACACATACATGTAGGGTCTACCCTGCATCCCCTGCCTGCGCACGGCTTTATGCTTCAACTGTTTTATACTTTAATACTGGCAGTTAGGAAATCTAATGCAATCCAAGGTTAGCTACAATGCTTATAATATATAATCTTTAATAAAATGTAAAATGTGTTGACTTACTTCACTAGATAAATTTTGGCACTTCAGTCTGTGTCTGTAGTTTTCGTTTTCTGCAATCATCCTGGAAATGACTTGGTGTACTTTGTTCCACACGGAGGCCTTAGAAAGATAAACACATTAAGGAATGCTGGCTACCAAAGTGCACTGCCTTTCCATGGAGAGAACGGACAGCGACGCCCTGGACTGCATGGGAGCCAGCATCAGTGTGAGCAACGCACTGAGGAACTGTCACAGCAGTGACCCCGTGCTCACGGACTTGTCTCAAACTTCTCTTTCAGTTTTCTTACCTTCTTTTCTTACAGTGTTTATATTAGCTATCCTGGATGATGCTGCCTTCCAGAAAAGAAAAAGACAGTCTGCAATGTCTTACTAAGTGGGTCCATTGCATTCAGTTTCAAAGGTACTAAAAATACTGAATTTCTATTCCTCTGCTTATGTTGAGCAGAGATTTATTTACAATGTATTTTATATTGTATATTAATATATATTAATTACATTATTTTAACATATATATATAAATATATATATATGAATGATGTTATAATGTATTTAAATATAGGTAAGAATTAACTGTTTCTCCTTAGAGATTATGAATATACTAGAATAAAAAAACCTATAAAATTAAATAGTTACATCTAGACTCAAAATCTTTTTTTTTCTACTGGGCACTTTGACATTTGACAAGCATTTAAATGCTATGTAGAAACATCTTCACATATTGAAGAATGAGATGAAAGGTGTGGATGTAAATCGCTTACCCCAGTGTGTGGCACATGATAGAGGTAAGCATTGGCCACAGTTCCTTTCTCCTCAGAAGGAAGCAGTTCTTAGAGCAGTGAACAACTGCTGCTTCCTTCAGACATATCTGGTACAGGGCAGGTTGCTCTGTTTTAGACCATGTATGAGCTATACCAAAAAAGCATGAATTTATGTGTCATGCTCAACAAATAAAATCATGAAAGTATAACAGCAATCACAGATTCTCTCAGCCACTGCTTGGAATGTGCTAAAATGCCTTTGTTACCATGACATTTGGCAACCAGCGGTGAGAAGGGTTCAGCCTCAAAGTTCATCTTTGTCATCTTTCTGGCTAAAAAGCCACATACATTCTTTGCCTTAGAAAGAGCAGTATGACATCAGTGTAGACGGATTCTTTCCTATGAAGTCTGTGATTCTCTCTCTACTCAGCAGTTAGCTACATTCTGTGGAATATAGGTTATGCTTTGAAATACCTCCTGGCAGGTTATATGTGATTAAACTGTATTTTATACCTTCAAATACCAGGACTATTCTTCATAGTTATTAAATATTTCTAAGCTCAGTTCCATTTCTTCCAAGATATTTCTATTTCTTCATTTCACAAAATTAAATTATTCAGAAGATAGAATTGCTTTCACTGTCTTGAACACTTTCACATACTGTATTTATAGAGGAAAGTCTAACATTTAAACATGGTTAGTTTTCTTTACACAACACACCTTTTTCCTCTCCTTCATTAGTTTGGAGGCTTCCTTCAGTGGTATGGGGAAATCAAACTCTTTAGCTGCATTTTTCTGGTTCAAACCTATTTTTTTTAAAAGTAAAGATATTGAAGTTAGTACATATTTTTAAAAGTATTATCCTGAAAACAGTGGCCATAGTTGTGTCTTCTGAGCTCTTTGGGGGAATGTTAATTCATACACAGAATTGTATTTCTGATCACTAGGTAATGCTACTTTACCACTCAGCTAGCAGTATGTTGAAAACAACAGTAAGCATTTGCGCCCCCAGAGCCCTTTCTACCTGCTTTCCCCTGTCTTTAGCACGCCCACCTTAACTCTCCTCACTTCATTCCTGACATATTACACTCTATATCTGGGTTTCCTTTGCACATGCAACAGTTAGCTTTCCAGAGAATATTCTCAGATTTTACAAACCATGCTGGGTTGTCACAGAAATTCACAGTTTTCTTGAGAAGTGTGTTTTCCTCTCTGGCAATCCAGTTTCTATTTTGAAGATACTAGGTAAATCATACATTATATTTGTTGAATTAACTAAAATGTGTTCTCAAATGGCATTTGCTAATTTGCCAGGCACATGCCATTGATTCTGGGTGAGGAGGTACAGACACGGGATAAAGGAACTTAATCATTAAGTCACATTGTGAGAAACTCACTCCCTTGCCAACTCTTCCAATCTTCCAACCACAGAGGAAGTCTGAGTTTGTCCACGTGTCACTTAGAGATCTTCAAGATGTGTTGCTTTTCCTTCAGGACATAGATACTTTCTAGCAAGAAATCTATTTACTACAACTGAGCAAAGTTTTGCCATTACTAGCTTGTAATTAATTCCCCTTTTAGAAAACTGCACACAACAGTGTTCTAACGAGACACGGCTAAGAGGGGAAGCACACCTGTTTAAGTGGACATTCTAAGCAGACTAGCACACACATGAGACGAACGCTCGAGTGAGAAGCTCTGCTCCCGGCAGACTAGCACACACAT